TTTCATTCTTTACAAAATACTAATTTTATTTTAAATGGTTTTGCTCTAAATCATAAAAAAAAATAAGTCCAGTCAGTACATTATTTGATTTCTTTCCATTTTGATAAAACTAAATAAAAAGGAATCTATAGGGGTATTGATGAAGTACTGAATCAATAAAATGTCTTTTTTAAAGTAGTAGTACCGATAAATCCTTTGAAATGAGCCTAATAAGATTATTTAATCTTAATTAAATCTGCTTAATTAACCTGGTAAAACCAGTAAACAGGCCTGGAGATTAATTTCTTTATTTTGGTTGGTTTGGATGGCCTTGATCCATTTGAAAAGGTTTTTTTTTTTTCTTTCAGCAAATCAATATCTTTGTTATTAAGTTTGTTCAGTGATCTGAAACGTATAACGTATAAGAAAAACAGAACAAATCTTTAAGGGGGATGTAATGACTTAAAATTGTAAAATGCAGGGATCCCCAGAAGCTTGTTACCGTTTAACACAATTATATTAACAAACTCAGACCTACAGGCAGCAAAAAAATGCATAAATATAATAGGATAGAAGCTCCGTGAAGACAAATGTACTGCCACCGTTTGAGCGCACCAATCTTCCAAAGCTAGGCTTGGCTAACTCCATTTGCATGATAACCGGCAGCTAGTGAGCTGGAGGGTAGAATATATCAGCAGGAATTACTTTATAAATCATCTACAAAGCAAATCCAGACCTGTGTGCTGGTTCTGAATGCAAAAGATGACTTACTGAGTCAGAACGTGCTGCAGATTGGCCGAGGTGTGGAGGAAGAACAGCTACTTGTTTTGCAAGCAAATTATCCTCTTGGGATTTGTCTGTAACTTTTCACATTTTAGCACTCAACAACCACCAACCTAAATGTGCTTATTATGTATAAGACAAATAGAATAAAATAGTTTTTACAATAAAGTGTCTGATACATGTGGTGTGGATTTGTACTCATCCCCCTTTAGTCTTTACTTTATAAACCACCTTCTGCTGCCGTTACATTTGCAGCCCTTTGGGGAATCTCCACCAGCTTTACTGATATTCTTGGTCTTTTCTTCTTCACAAAACCACTTTTGTGTGATAGGAAACCATCAATTTAGGGCTGCAAATAACAATTATTGTAAATGCATCTGTCAATAATTTTTTCAATTAATAATTGGATCACTAACGGTTCCTTAAAAAAATACTTTTTACGAAATGAAACCAGGTGAAACTTGAGGAGTTCTGGATAGAGAATATTGTCAGGCAATATTTTTTAAATGAAATTTTTTTTTTTACAATTTTGATGCAGCTCAAATAGGGTTGCCCTATCAGCTGAAGGCATATTTTACAGTTTATGTACTGTATTTGACAATTATTTGATAACTGAATTATTTCAATACTCTATTAATCCGATTAATTGCTTCAGCCCTACATCAAACCCAACAAACTTTTACTGGACGTTCTGACATTACATTTTAATTTAACCCTTTTTAGTTTAGATCTGCTTTCAAATATCCGCCATTCTGGTGGAAGGTGAATTTTTATCCCAATCTCAAATCTTTTCTGGTCTTTGAAAGATTTCTGGTTAAGTTGGCTACCATTGTGCAGCGCCCGGGGAGCAGTGTGGGGTTAAGGGTCTTGCTCAGGGACCCAGAGTGGCAGTCTGTGGGAGTGGGGCTTGAACTCTGAACCTCTTGGAGCCAAGCACAATGCCCTAACCCCTAGGCCGCAATTCCCCTAAGTATTTCTTGTTCGATTTAATCTCAATCATTTCTGGAAAAACAAAACACTGGTTGCTGGATGCAAATATTAAAAGATTAGTGTGAAGGCATTTGTAAAAGCACCATATGCCTGAAGCATTCTGCGGCCTTCAGCCAAGCCATCCTGAACACTCATCTGTCTCTTCCAGCTCTGTCTCAAACCATTTTTGTTTTTATATGCCTATAATCTCTCTGTCAAGTGAGCATCCGACTTAGAATACCTAAATTGTGGGCTAGTAGGGACAGGAAAAACGCAATCTAAACAAAACAGATTTCTAAAGCTCACATTTTAGAACCAGTACTGTTAAAAAAGAAGAGGTGAGAGGAGGAGGGTAGAATATGGAAAGCAGAGGTAGGGTTGGGAGAATCTTCCATCTTGTGTGGAGAGGAGGGAGGCTGGGGGGGCACTAAGCACACAGACCAACACCCCCCTCCTGTGGCATTGCCAGAGAGCTGCAGACAAGGATCCAAGGACAAAGATTCATATATTCCAGCTTTCAAATTCACATTAGGAAAACGGCGCACACCCTTTCAACAAACACACACAAGTCCTGGGACGGTTTGAGCCGCTCAGTGTGCTCTGCTGCTGCAAGGCAGATAACAGAACACTCGCTCCTCTTCCTCCCTTCTGCACACATAAGGCAGTGATTACCGAGAGCAATATGTGTGGAGAGAGAGAGAGAGAGACAGAGGGAACGATGAAAGGATGAGAGGAGCTGAAGAGTGAAAGGACTGCAACTGCTGTGTGAAAAGGCCCCCGCGTGCGGAGGTCTGCTCGAAGCGGGTGATAGGATGATTTCACCCCACTTTCCGAGGATCGAGAGTTTGAAAGGGAAGCTTAGTCACAAGCTGCTCTGCTTCCATTCAGAGCTTCTCAGGGGGCAAAACGTATGAACTCCCAAACATCACAACCGTCCGGGTTCTTCTCCGATCCGGCTGGTGGGAGAGCCCGGATGGAGGCGACGGCTGGACGGAACGCTCAGCGAGAATTAGGGTTTATTTATTCCCTTAAAACAAATCAGACTGGAATAATCAAATCCAGTTTTTGAACAGTGTTAAAAACATTTTCCCCTTGACAGATTTCCATTTTCTCTCTTCTTGTTGCACTAAAGTTTCAGATCCTAAAACTTATTTCTTTATCAGATGGAGATGATGAGGGAATAAAAATGGAGTTAATGTTTTCATCTTTTTCCAACCAAGAACGGCCTCCTTAAGGTCAAGCCCAGCCCTCAATCAAACTTTGGCCCAGATTTGAACCGCCTAGTTCTTAAACCTTCATTTCCTGTAACCCAAAGGCCTCTGACCTTTACCTCATCAACTTATAAACTGATCTCTAGGTAGACGATCCACTACAGCTCAAATGCTGTGGTTCCATCATTAATAAGAACTAGAGATAGACCGATACATCTGCTGGCCGATATCTTTGACCGATATTTGTATTCATTTTCTCGTATAGGTATTGGCTGATACATTTCTGTAATTCATAAGATCCCATGAAGCGAATCACTCCTACATTTGGTATCCAAAGTTAATATTTTTTGTTAATAATTAGTACTTTTTCTTTAAATAGAAGCTTTTCTGACATTTGTCAACATCTATTTATCACTTTAAAGAGAAGAAAAAGTAATATTGTATTCAAAAATTGGCCACACATATTGAGGATTGGTTAGACTAAGGCAGATAACTGTATCTGCCTTAAAATAATAATCTGTATAGGTCAATCTAGCAGTTGAACAGTTTTTATTTTATACAGAACTTTAAGATAAACCAGGGTTCAAATAAAACATAGAGGAAGCAGATGGATTTAAACAAAGTTAAAATCCTAGATAGTTACTGTAAATTATAGTTTAAAAAAAATCTAATAATAAGGTTTGATCTCCTGCAGCAGCAGGGAAAAACCAGCCTGTCATCCTACCTCTGCCTTGTCATACAGTATATGTATATCTGTAGTTAAATGGCTTTGTTTTGGAGACAGAATGATACTTCAGCCGGCTGATATTTGCAGCAAATATTAGCGCTTTATAATATTTGCGATACATGCATGCATTGGCTTATTCATTGGTGCATTCAGCAGCCTTGCATTGTCTCATCACATGAGGCACATGCATTGTCCTATCCATTTCCTATCAATAGCTAATATGATTTATTTCATTTGTTAATAATTCTGTTTAAATTATGACTTGTGTAAGAATTGTTATCTTGGTGTCATCTAAATCGAGTAAATAGAGGAAGAGAAAACCATAGGAAACCGAGGAATTGGACCCCAAAAAATAAACTGATACATCAGCAGCACATATCAGGGCTGGGTTTAACTGATGAAAATAATCAGTGGTTTCAGAAAGGGCATGGACGCCTTCCACTTTTTTCCTTTAGTCTAGAAGCCTCTATTAAAGGTTCTTGAGGATTATCATCACAGTTTAGGAAATGTAAAGACTTTCCTTTTTTGCTGCAGAGGTTTTCATTAGGGATTCTCATACTGAGGCCATTTTTCTTCTTCCTTGCTGAAAGATAAAAACTGCAGCAATTTTTTTTTTCTGCGTTCTGCTGTGACCTTCTGGAAGTAATTTCGGGGTGTTCCATGTTATCTCCATTTGTGGGTAACACCTCCATGTACTCAATTCAAAAATACTTTTTTTATTTCCCTTTGGTGTTTATAAAGTTTAAGTCAGTTGGCATCAAAAAGTATGGGTTCGACTGCAGCCCTTTCCCGGCTGATGCATTATTTTCTTTTTATCTCATCTGCTTCTGGATTTATTTAGGTTTGATTCTTTTGGGGATCTTTTAGCCTACTTCATGCTGTCATACAGGCTCTATTAAGAACCTGCTTTTACAAATCTGGGTAATTAATCAAAACGCACAAATAAAATTATTGTTACCAGTAGTTTTGAATTGAAAAAAAGGTATATTTGATGGCTTTCTCCTGTTTGCATCTAATTATCATATTTGTTTTATGATCTGAAACGTTTAAGTGAGATAAAAAAAACAATAAATCTGAAAATTTGTAAATGCTTCTTTGCAGCACCGTAAGGATAAACACCCACGGATGTATTTTTAGAGGAACCTTCTGCATCCACTGACAAAGCCGTTTACACGTTACTGCACAAGACACAATGTCTGTTCTGCCTTTTTTCCAGCCTTCAAAAATATAAAAGCCGAATGATGAAGCCGACGTCGTTCGGTCGGAGTCAAGGATTCTCTTTACGTTTATCGGTGGTTGGGGAGGTTTGCAAGCAAGTAATAAGCTCTTACCTGACTGTGAGGTGCATATCCATGGAAACCGGGGTTTAAAGGCTCGTTGTTCTGAAAGAGACAACAGGAGGGAGGAGAGCGGCGTTAAGTTGCTAGGCTTCTGCAGATAAGCGGGAGCAGTGTGACGGAGTAAAACTCTGAAATGTGCTTAAAGGCAAATACAATCCCACAATGCATTCAGACCGACAAATAAAGAAGACACTTTAATCATAACATGAAACAAATTCTTTACACATTTATCTATTGTTTCAGCGTTTAGTTTAACATTGCTGTTCTTTTTCTAGGGTTTAATCATTATAAAACAAACTTCTTAAGGAAATAAATAGATTGACGTGTAGAATTGTCCTTGATCTGGAGGTTGGAGCCACGTTGGTTTGGTTTAATAAATAATGCTGATCTTCCACCATCATTCAGCTCCTTTAGAGAGTTGAATAGACCCTCACCATGATGCTGCCACCGTCATGCTTCACATTTGCTTTGAGGATTCTCGTCTAATAAGCATTTATTCCAGAAAGTTCCCTCATGAGGAAACCTGCAAAATCCATTCACTTTTTTCTTTCCCCTTTTGAATAACATCCATGAAACCTGTGAACCAGCGGAATCATGCAACTCCAATCGAATCAGGAGCTTGTCGAGGGAGTTTTTCTGCAACTTTTTTGAAGAATATTCAAATAAATCTTACTGTGTGTGCTTATATTAAAGCTTGTATCTATTCCTTTGGCACTGAATGATTTAGCCCTAATCCACCACACACATTCAGTTCTTTTTCATAAACATCAAAGTAGGTTTTTCCAAGTTCCTGCAGGCTCTAAAAGTCTAAACTTATGAAAGAGCAAAGGAGACTCCCCCCGAAGCACAAAGACAAAAGAGCAAATTAAATCAACAGTGAGCGAGTGGTCCGACTGGTGACCCAGAACTTTCATGCAGCCGAAACCGACCATTAATAAGCGGCACCGCCGTCGTTCACCAAACGACCTCCATAGAAAACCACTGTTGTGGTTAATTGCTCTATAATTACTCTTAATTAGATTATTTCTGTCTCTCTCACCCTTTCTCTTCTCTTTTGTTTTCCTGCTCTGTGCCGTTTCTGACCTGGGAAGAGGAGCCATTGTCTGCCTCAGAGCTACAATATGGAAAGTTAACTAAATGATAGTTTAAAAGCAGCAAGAGAGCGAGATGGAGGGAGGGAGAGATGACTGCTGGTATGCCTCGCAGAGAAAACATGACCGCCTGGTGAGACTCATGTCTCTGCGCTCGAAAAGGAGCTGAGGCGTGAGTCTGACTGAGCAAGAGGCGAGGCGAGGCGAGGCGCGGGGGGAAGGTCTGGATGGGTAACGGAGAGAAATATGTGCGTGTCTGTGAATAACTATATACTCTAGCGTTTGTTAAATTTAATCAGAAAATCTTCTATATCCATGTGCTGCAGACCGCCTGAATGAAAAAAAGGGGAAAGAAAAGGAAAAAAAAAGGTTGATTTAGACTCTGAGGACCGTCAACAGAGTTAACCTCTTAGCCTTGACCTGAAGCTGCCCGCTGCGGGAATCGCTTCCTAATTGCTTTCAGCCAGCCAATCAAGGCCAAGTGTATGAGACAGAGGGCTGTGAAGACACAAGTTTATATAAACAGACAGAGAAAAGGCTTATTAATCCAGAAGAGCTCTCTGTGCAACTGGGACCGGGAGAGAGGGAGGCTTTGCTGCTTTCCTACATCGCCTCGTTACAAACACAAACTTCCCGTTGTTTGATCTGAATGTGAAACAGTCCAGTGCAGACAGCTTAGTGTGTGCTGGTGAAGTGGAAGAAGGTATTTTTCCCATTTTCTCTGTAGAATAGCTTTAATTTAGACTCCATTTAGCTTCATCCTTCTTCGTCTCAGCTATAACCAGCCTTATCCCCACAGCATTACATTGCCACCACTATGCTTCACAGTGGGGACTGCTTTGGAGGGTTCCGCAGTGTTTTATCTGCAACAAACATTTAATTACATGTCCCCCCCTACATGGGATAGAAGTTTTCAGCATCAGGCTAGTTATCCTGTGAGCAGGTTCCTTCACCTACATGCAGAATCTCTGCAACTCCTCCAGAGATACCATGTGTCTCTGTACGTTTGCTGTTGCTACATCCTGTTTCCATTTTCAAACGCTCAACAGAGGATTTAAGCTAGGGATACAGTTTTAGAACCTTGATATCGATACTGATGTTAAAGCTGGACAAAAATAAGTAGTCATTGAAAATAGCCATTTTGTTATCCATTTCTGACACTTATAATATATAAATAATAATACTCAAATATATTTTCATATGCTGATATCAAATTGATTTTTAAAAACGCGGTATCGATCTATTTTACTTTCAAAATCTCGTGAAATTTCATCGTTCTGTTTAAAACTCTCGTGATATTTTGCAAATTCTTGTTAGATTTTGTTAGTAAAATAGATCGATACTGCGTCAATATATCAACATATAAAAATATGGCAAAATTTCGTTAATTTTCGGGGGATTTCGTAGCATAACGATGACATATAGCAATATTTCATTAGTAAAAGAGATTGATATGGTGTTTTTAAATGGCAATATATCAGCATATGAACATATTACGATATTTTAATGTATCGATATTTTTTCCCTCGTCTTTAGAAGTTTTTAAGTCTGTAAAAAATAAATTTTTGAGGAAGAAGAAGAAGTAGTATTTTTTTTTTTTTTTTAGAGTTTAGAAACTCAGATACCGATAGGGGGCTGATTATATCATGCATCCCTACTTTTTAATGCTCTTTTAATGCTCTTAGAAATAATTTTAATGCCACCAACAGGTACCAGTCGACACGAGCAACCACTTTTGTTTGTTTTGTTTTCCTTTTACCCCCCCCCGTTCTCTAACTTTTTTTCCCCACTCAAGCCTCTTTTCTGAACATACAGCGTTGCGATCAACCGGAAGCAGTTCCACGCAAATATATCATGATAAAATATGTCTGACGAAATTGTTTTTATAAACATTTTTTAATAAAGCATTTTAAATGCCACAATAAGCAAATTTAATGAATTTTAATGCCAATTAAGGTGTTAATTTAAAAAAAATAATAATTTAATGACTTTTAATGATTTTTAATGACCCGCGGAAACCCTGTGAACAGTGGGAGACATTCAACCTCCAGCAGTAATCTATTTACCGGTACTAGGTAGGCGTTTCATGACTGCATTAAACTCAGAGTAAAGGGGGGCTGAAGATATCTTCACGCTACATGCTGCAGATTTTATACAAAGTTTTTCCCTCTTCATAATTTTAGGCTACTCTGCTCTGCCATAAAATAACTGCATTTTAATTGGAAAAATATGTGGAAAAGGCTAAAGGGGTGTAAATCCTTTTGCAGGGCGCTGTAACCTCAATGCATAGACCAATAAAGAGGTGTCTAGACACGGTGTGATTACTGGAAGCCAAAAAATATAAGTAGGATGTTAAAAAATAAACATTTAAAGAAAATTAAAGAGAATTTTTTTTTGTCTTTTCCACTTTAATATGAGTAATAAACTCAGACTTGGAGTACCGGGACTTGGGGCCCGTCCTCCCTTTTCCCCGCCTGAAACAGCCCTCTCTTTGTCTTCTCCCTCCACTTCCTGTTTCATCTGGAACCAATTTTCCCCTCGTGCCTCGTCCCCAGGGGGAACCCTCTCCTTGAAGCGCTGCATTTACATTTATAACCGGCAGGCTCATATTGAGCAGAGAGCTGTCGGTGATGTGAAGCCTTGCAAAACCTTTTCTGGAGTGAAAAGAGAGTCTGAACATCTGGAGCATCATTTTAGTTCATTTCTACACAGAAAAGAGTTTAAAAGAATAAAACTGTTAACTAAATGTATTTTAATGTTTGTTCTTATAACGGACAGGCTTGTTTGAGGCACTAGTAATGAGAAAGGACAGAGAATTTTGGTGCACCACAGCAATGAAAACCAGAATTATCCCAGACCATCAAATTGTAGAGTCTGTTGGTTCAAGAATCAAAAGAAGAGAAGAAAAAGCAAAGAGAAGGAGGAGTTTATGATGGAAAAAAGAAAAACACACGCAGGGAGGGAGAGGAGGGGGGGTTTAGCAACATCTGGAATCAATCTGTTGGCAGAAAAAGGGGGAGCAATGGGGGAAGGAATGGTGAGAAAGAAAAGAAAAGAAGGAGGAGATGAAAACAGGCGAAGGGAGGAATGTGGGTAAAAAGATGGCCAAAGTAAAGAAAGGGGAGTAAAATAATACAATAAACAGGAGCGAACCAAATGAGTCACAAGCAAAATATGCCATGTGATTTATATTTTCTTAGGGAGTGGGGGAAGGGAGTGGGGGTCTGAGTTTGATCCTCTTTCTTCACACAAACTGTATGACTTGAAGTGTATCAGAAAAAAAAAAAACTCATCACTAATCGCCATACTGCTCTAAACAAAGGAAGAAGAAAGAAAAATACATCGCTCTCTTATACTCCCCAAACTTTCCACCAAGCTCCAGTCCAGGAGGCTGGGAAGGCGTTGGTTTCAGACTGAGCTGGCAGAGATCAGAAAAAGCACAGACATCCAGTCACACGCTCATAAACACAGCCTCCCACTCTCTGTCCTCCTCTCTTAACTCAACCCGAAGGCAAACCTGAAAAAGGGCGCCTGGCTTGTTTATTTTCCTCTATCTGCCGTCTGCTATTTTAGGAGGAATAGAACCAAAAAGTCGGGAGTAGCTGCAAGGACCGGGGCGGGGCGGGGCGGGGTGGGGGGGTTCAAGGAAGGCAGGCTGACATGAGGTCAACAGATGGTGAGAGAGGGGGAGGGGCAGGGGGGTAATTAGGCAGGCTGCTGCAGGCAGGCATCCGGAGGTACCTACCAGAACAGGGCTTGGCCCAACGCTGCCTTCATGGCGTTAAGAGGAGTCGGATCTAAGGAAATCCCACCTGCTGCCATCTGAGGCCGAGCTAAAACGTGCCCACATTGGCTTCAGATGCTATAGATGTTATAGCAAGCTGGAGTTTTAACTCCTAAAGGTGATCTTGGAGAAGTTATACTCTTTTTAAACGCTGGTGACAAAAAGCA